ATTGACTTCGATTCTTGTTCAATCCTCTTCCAAAGTTCTTCATGCAAAAGACGTTTACAATGCATTTCCTTATAGTTACACTTCAAGAATGTGGAATACAACACTGTCTTCTTCTTCTTGATAAGAACATTTAAGATGTTGCGGTAAATATTGACTATCCTCTTATCATTTTCTAGTAATCCACAGGTCTTTCCAATTTTCTTCATTGAAATGAACTTCGGTGAAACATTTGAGTTTCCGTGAAGTATGCATACACTTTTGATCGTTGATATCTATTTCCCAAGGAGTCTTTTGCTTAGCTTTGACCACCATTTTGTAGAGCTGGCTTCAGCTTAGATTTACAGTATGGAGCGAATCATCGGTCGCTCTTTATTGCTGTAGGATTACGGTAGAAAATTCAAGAAGGATTGCGAGCCATAAAGGACCCTATTTCGCCTCAGAAAGCAAGCCAAACAACCAGAAAACTTTTATACTAAGGCACTTGGAGCCGCTGAAACCAGACATGACGTTTGCACTTTACTACAATGCTTCCTTCATAAGTTATGGCAGGTAAACCGCTATGTCTATTTTTACAACACTCCATAAAATCGTGATTACACCATTTTAAAAGCTTTGAAAACTCGTAAAAATTGAATAATAAAATCAGCGAGCTTGAAAACCCTGGTACACCACTTTTCAGATTTTTTGGAAACTTTTGTTGAAACACAGTAAACCCGTAATGACGCTATAAGCTGAAATTCCCACCGTAATCTTACAGTAGTGAAGAACGATCCGTGATTCGCTCCATGCTGTAAATTTGAGTTGAAACCAGCTCTACAAAATGATGATTAGAACTGAGCAAAAGACTTTCTAGAAAAAGAGATATTAACGATCAAACAATGTGTACATACTTTAAGGACACCCTGCATACTGGTGGTGCCGTAAACGGTAGATTATAAAGCCCATTATTGTTTCCGCCGACTTAGGCAGGTAGAACGCATTTGATTGCCGGGATGCAATTAAGGCACGCGCCGTACTTGATCCACTCGATCCATTCGTTCCATTTCGGGATTGCTCAAATCAGTGAACTGACCATTAGCGAAATGGATGTCTATTTGATCCATTTAATCCAGTTCACCACTGGTGGGTCCACTGATTCGACCATTAACGAGCTGGATGAAGTGGATTCAAGCTAATCAAGCGGCTCAGGTATGACGCGTGCCTAACTCCCTCTTCGTTTTTCCTCAATTGCTTTTTATCGAAAACATTATTTGGTTTGAAGGGAGTGCTGTTTGCTTTTGCTTCAACACTAAGTTTGATTTCGGTTGCTTACATCATGAGTATTCATTTTCGCAATTCGCACGTTTGTAAGTCAAAAGACATCGAGAGTTCGTTATCTTGTCGATGTATCAAAAAAAGGCACCGCATAGGGCTCAAACAGCTTTATATTCAAGTCGGTAATGCACCAACTCAGATAGCTCAAATCAATTTATTGTAAAAGTCACGGAATTCGAAATGTTTATAAGTGAATGGTTTTCGTTTTTGTCCCAAATTACATTCTCACTATGATTAAGATTTACTGTTCTAGGATGAGCGTGACTACGTGCTATAACGACCAGGATCGTCGCCAAAGGACAATCTGTTTTTCTTTTTTTTCGAAAGCGTCGTTACAGCAACTTCATTTGTAGACCGCTGCTGTCTTTCCTTTATTTCAGCATTGATCAGATCACATCAGCTTACTGTTCTTGTGCTATCACTAGTGGTGTTGTGAAGACAATTCTACCAAGTTATGAAATTTTGTGTTCCTGGATGCTCATGGACATAAGGATTTTGTGCCAGTTATATCATTAGGAAAATTCTTAGTTTATCATGCCGTTCTAAGCTCTGTTCCTGGAGTAATGAGCTTTATTATGAGATGTTTCTTCTGTTTCTTCTCTCCTCTTCTCTAAACACTATTTTGTCCCTGTTGAATTTGACGAAGTGTCTTGCTTGCAGAGAAACATGTGGGAATGAGTGAATCGAACCAGCTACAAGAAATAACGGACAGCTGCCATAAGGAGCTGAAAGAAACAATATCGATAAAAAACGGTCAAGAACATACTGTCATTTACGCCTTTAGTGAAGCAATAGCTCAAACATGAAGCCAGTGTCAGAAACATTGTTTGACTGTAACAAAGTTCACCAAAGACACTTTCTTCCATGAGCAAGATGCTAATCTGAAGGGATATACTGGTTCTAATCTATTTCACATCAGGCTCTTAGAAATATGGAAACAGAGTGAAAAAATGTAGCAAAACTTATTTGCGAGGTAAACTATGAATTATCAAATTATTTATGAACGCAATCCCTAATGCTGGGTTCATGCTGGACCGTAAGTTTCGGAACAGTTCCCGTATATTGCACAATTCGAGCGCTGTGCTGAAACTGCTCCGGAACTTACGAATCAGTATCAACCCAGCATAACGAATATATCGCTGTCATGAGCTTGAGCGACTACCAAGAACAAATATCTGGAAAAAAGTAATAGAAAGTGACTGACTACTATACTTCGGTAAATTCGAAATTTTTCATTGAACGGATAAATATCGAATAAATTCGAAAATTAAAAAACTCGATTAAACGAATATCGAATAAATTCGAGATAGAAATTCTTAAATGAATGAATCCCGAGAAAAAAATGGAAAATTAAGAATATATGAATGAATACCGATTATATTCAAACATTAAGAGTCGCATTTAGAATAAATATTCGAATGCTTTATTCAATCAGGCCAACGTTCCGGTGCCTTCACCTTCGTCAGAGCCTGGAAGATCGCACACATTAGTGGTTTTCCTCAAACACCTCCTTCAAGCCAAGGCTACACTCAACATTAGGTTAGTTTGAAAGCAGTGACGAAAAGCATCATCAATGCTTACCTCGGCAGTCTTCGAATCAGGTTGAACAACCACCAAACATAGCGTCTGCACAGTTAGTACTAGCGAAAACCAGTATAATTGCCTTATATAGTGACTCTAATCTCAGTGTAGATCAAACCCGCAAAGGGACTGATACGAGATCAGATCACTATTAATGGAAACGCCCTCTTCTTTGCGATTCACTGCAGAAGCTCTGATTGTTATACAAAATGCTTACAGCGTTTTACGACTTACAATTTCGGATTTACGCGTCAAGATTGTGACAGGTATATTGAGTTGTTGATCTGAGTGTTGCTCTCTGCGATGTGCGCCTAGGGGGATTTGGATTTAGATTTTGCAAGACCATCTAGGTGCTCTTTGATCCTCACACACAGAGACCTGCTAGTTTTTCCTATATGCTGTTTCCCGCAAGTCTGACAAGTTATCTGGTACAGGGCCCGGCACGAGGTTGTCAAAAGGGGTTTTCGAAAACGAATTCCCCTTTGGCCCAAAATTTTTTTACGAAATCCCATTTGATCCAAAAACTGTTCCGAGTGATTGCGCGGTGAACACTTTACCCAAAAAACATGTTTTATTAGAGAAAAAAACAAAAACAATTTATTCTTAACAAAAAAAAACAGAGATCATATTAGAGATCTCTGCAGTAAGGTCAATGAAAGAAATCTGCACCGGCAGCTGGGGGGGGGGATGTATGCTGGCACGATGCACGTGCACGATTCGTTAATACGATGCTGTCCAGTTTGGAGGAGTATCTATCAGTCGTGGGTGAGTCAATTGCGCTGCTGATAAAGCAGTGTCTCAGTTAGGCCCCAAAATCGGTTCCCACGTGATGCCTTGCCCAGATTTACCCGAACGCTGCCTTTAAAGGTCGGCAGAACGAGACCCGCGGCAAAACAAGGTCACAGGGTAGGAGCCCCCATAATGGAACCTATGGGCCAAAATTCGATTTTCCTCTTTCACTTCTAACCCCCGAAATTTCAAAGCGAAAGCAGCGCTCATCTCCTGTCCTCTCCGAACCCGCCCACCCCATGGACGAGTGAACGCAAAGCCCGTCATGGCGAAGACGCAGAGTCGTTGCGGGACCTCATGCTTATAGCATTGCGGCTGGCGCTCTGACCGCGGAAGTTACTCGTCCATGGGGTGGGCGGGTTCGGAGAGGACAGGAGATGAGCGCTGCTTTCGCTTTGAAATTTCGGGGGTTAGAAGTGGCAGAGAAAGATCAAACTTTGGCCCATAGGTTCCATTATGGGGTTCCTACCCTGTGACCTTGTTTTGCCAGGGGTCTCATTCTGCCGACCCACTGCCTTTAAGAGTGAAGTGATAAGGCATTCACCAAAGAACCAATCCTGATGTTACTTATTTGATCTACAGAGGCAGGACCAAAGTAAACGTGATTGCGCCACTTCTGCATCAAATCATATAGCGCGTTGTGCAAAAAAGCTTTTTCGAAAAGTGACAAATGCTTTGCGCAAACAATGTTCGACTTGTCATGAGATAGAGAGTGGGCCGGACTGCCGGGCGCGCATTGGGTTCGAATCTAGCGGGATTCAACGAGAAAAGTACACATTTAGAACCCAATAATCTAGCCCTGAAGATCGTCCTTTCACACACTTCTGACAACTTCTGTGAGTGCTGCAGTAGGCTTTGGTGTAGATATCGTTCAGTGATACGTACGATTACTACATCGTTGGGAGACACGGGATGAACGGTATCAAAAAAAATTCTTTGATTTATGCAGCTAGTCGGCACATCCACAGCTCCCCTACCTTTTACCTACTGCAGAAAAGAATCAAAAGGTCGACATTAAACTTTACTCTTGCAAAAGATCTGCGGTAAAATCTCAACTTATCAAGATAACTTGCAATGGATAAGGAGAAGAAATCAGATCAGCGTTCAAAACCGCACATTTTGGAATGCAGTCACTATAAATGACCACCGCCAGAAATTTCATACATTTATCATTGTAGCAAATGTTTTTGGCAAACTTAGCTATTCAGAAACTGATCAGTTCTGGTGCCATATATGCCAACCAATGTGATGATGTCCATATAGCGTTATTGAAACAAGCTGGCATTACGATAAAACTTCCACTGAAGTTTCTCGGCTTACCTTCGTGGATAGCGCAATCGTCCCATGCTGAAGAGTCCGAAATTGGTGATAACGTCCTTGTTTTTGCTTTCAATGGAGATGTTTTTCGAGCGGAGATCTTTATGAATAATCTTCTTCTGACGAAGATATGAGACACCCTGGATAAATACAGCTTATCAAGATTTTGATTACAGATCATAGCCAGCATCCTTAGGCCCCGGGCAGACTTCACGCGATTTGATCGTCGCGACTGAATCGCGAGGAGACAACTGTAACAACATCATTCCATGCAGATCAACTTGCATTCGGTTGTGATACTTTTCCAGACCGAAATTTTTGAATGTGAAATGAATATGAATGGAAATCTTGGCGATTTGGTCGCGACGATTAAGTCGCGTGAAGTCTGACCGGGGCCTTACCTGACAAATCTGAATAGCTATCACACGTGCGGCCCCTACATCAAGCGGTTTCATGAAAAAGATGGTGTAACGAATAACTCATCACGATGCCATATTTGCCTGCTTCAGGACAATAACCCAGGAATAAGAAGACTATATTGTCGTTTCGAGTGTTCTAAAGCGAAAAATAGGTTCAAACTTTCAAATTAAACAACTGGTTAGTCGTGTAAACTTACTTTGTGGGCCGCTACCTCCGACTTGAACGCATCTAGTCGCCTAGCTTCTTCAAAATGGTTCATGTTGAGGAATTTTATTGCTACATCACCAAAATGATGTCCTCGTTGGACCTCAAAAACACTGAATTTTGAAACAGCAAATGAGTTGAAAATACTAACATTAACCAAATCCTCCATTAACGACAGCGTTTTTGTCAGAATCAATTTTGTGGAAGAATATTGCGACTTCGTTCCAGCTAGCCTGAAAATAATGAGATAGTGTGGAAAAAAAGCAAAATTGTACAGTTTCTAGACTGCAGAGAGTTGATACACCACATTTCCAGAAAAATTAAGCAAAAAACAAATAAAAAAGTGAAAATACAACTTAGTAGCAATGCTACCTGCGCATTTGGATCTCGAATAGTGCTCGTGTTCCATCTATTTCCATCTGTGTGGTTTCCTAGAGGTGATTTGCCGCTGGTAGAACCATCACTCGCACCCACTTCAGTCTAAAATACCAATATTGAGAACGGTTCGATAAAGAGAAAAATCTAACCCGTACAAGGAAATTGAAATGAATGCTTATAGGTCTGTACAAGAGAACCAAAAGAATGGCATGCTCACCCCTCCTCTGCCAGTTGAATCCAAGACAACCGTGCCTTCACTACCCTCTACTAGTCGAGAGTTCAGTATGACGGGCCTTCACCATAATCGGTAGTGCTACTGGTTCACTCCGACGTGCTATAAGTTCGTGATGAAATATCAGAGCGACACTTATAGGACTCAGCGATACGCCGTTCGACTGGAGCGCGCTTTCCTCCTTAGGAAACGGGCCTGCTGAGGCTATTTTTGGCTCTAGCAAAGACGAGAGGAGGAAGTTTGAGACCAAAATTTCAAGATATACTAATCTTTAGGTGTGGAGTAGATTTATGTAAAAATTTTTGAAAAATTATGTGAATTGAGAGTTTTGACAAGCTCAGCTTGTCATTAGCTTGTCAAATGACAAGCTAATTTGGAAATAACTTAAGCACGCTCTTCATTCACATAAGTTTTTCATAATATTTCATATTTTGTTACTTAGTTCTACTGCACAGATACACACCAAATCCCACGCGATTTCGTCACCTCTGCGTTGCAAACGAGCCATTTTTCCATTTTCTTGACAGCGGGAAATTTTCAGAAAAAAGCTTGCCGCAACCTTCAGTCACATAATTTTTCAATTAAACTCCTAATTTAACTCCTACAGGCTTGTGTCCACATACTTACCAAGTTTCATACCATATCGTCATGTGCTCGTTGCAAACGAGCCATTTCAATTCGCATCTTCATTTACCAATTTTGCAAAATTTTCGGAAAAAATGCTTATTACTCGTTCCGTTCACATAAGTTTTTCATAATTTTTTCATACTTTGTTTCCACTAGCCTCCCTCCGTTCGCTTACAAAATTTGGTGTCATATCGTCACGCATACATTGAGAACTAGTCATGTATGCTGTTACAAATAGCATCGTTTGAGCGACGTCGCGCGTGCGGCAACTAGCGACGGCGCGGTTTGACGCGCGCGAACTCCAGTGTTCGCCTGTTGAGGCACATAACATGTTAAAATAAGCAGAGGGCATAAACTACCATTTTTCTGGGGCTTCGCCCCGGACCCCGCAAAAACGATATCCCCTTTGCTTTTTTTGCCGAAAACGAATTCCAGCTTGTCATTTGACAACCTCGTGCCGGGCCCTGATCTGGTAGATTACTCCTGTCTCCATGCAATCGCCTGATTGACCAAATGGGCAGACGATGCAATCGACATTCATGCATAATAGGTAGTAATAGCGATTACGAATTGGTTGTTTTTTAAGACTGGAAGGCGGAACGTTTATGATTCTAACGGACTTTTAAAGCCTGCATGCTCTAAACTTTTTCTTATCGCCTTGCTGAAATCTCTAGATACGAAAAGAACACAAAAAAGTATTGACTTCATTCTTGCTTGTGCGCGGTTTGTATTCTTGCCAGGTACGTTTTGATGAGTGGTCTGGGGTAACCATTGGGCTGCACAATTTTTCTGACAAGATTCAACGATGTAGCGCGTTCCTGATCGGAGGAAACGGCCCTAGCAATCTTAAGCATATTACAAATTATCGACCTTTTATTAAGATGGGCCAAGAGATAGTGAACTAATATATTTTTGCTGATTGGTTTTTGGAAGCACTTGGTCTTGTATGATCCATGATATTATATGTATATCACGCAAATGCACTTGTACGTTAAAAAAGCAGCCTGTTTTTGCGGAGTTTCTCTCGCGTTAACTTTATGTGCGGGGATTGATTGTTTAAGAGGTTGAAGCAAGTGTTTAGCTCGTGTTGTGTGGCGCACACTATGCAACAATCATCTAAATAGCGGCAATAAAGTATTGGTTCGTGCGCAAACACGGGGCTCTCGATTTTTGGCATATAGGCAGTGGCAACGACAGGTGCCAACCTCTGCCCTATTGCCAATCCCCTAAATTGTTTATAGTGCTGTCCACATCATCGAAAAACGCTGCAGCTTATTCTTTCAAGAGCACCATCGTGTGCCGAATATCAAAACCGTACATGATGGAAGCATGGTGTTCGTTTAGTATCTCGTAGACCGCTTCCATGACCGCTTCATTCGACGCATTCGTGTACAACGAAGTGACATCGAATAATTCGATGACACATTCTTTACTTAGCGGTGCCTTACTGACTTGTTCAAGGAACATGTTAGTATTTGTTAGATGAGGAGGAATATATATTGAAGCAATTGCGTGAGGCAAGTTCAGCAGCCAAGATACTATCAGTGGGACCTCCACAACTGCTTATGATAGGCCTTATTTTGAACTTTGCAGGGTCCAAGGAAAGGAATTTACTAGCAGTGAGCTTGCGTGTTTTGATGAGCATATAAAGGACAGGACATTTGGGCAGAACGTTTCTTAAGTCCCGCATGCACGTACGTCCCCGCTGGGGAGGGGAGGGGAGCTGGATCCCCAGGGGAACGATCCCCTCCGCCGACGCCCGCCATGACAGAGAGGAGGGGAGCAATCCCCTCCCCTGCACCTAAGCGGGGATGGTGTGAATGGTTTCAAAGGTATTGATCGAGCGAGCCCCAGTGCATACGGGGTTCGCGTAGGGGAGGGGATCCCTTTCCCCTCCCCACTTGATCCCCGTATGCATGAGTGTAACTCAACAACGCGGGGGGAGGGGATCGACATCCCCTACAACGGAGTAGGGGTTCGATGGTGTAGGTCAAGCCAGAGAAGCGAGTATTCTAATTTCAATCAATTATTACAGAGCATTTCGTTCAAATTGATGAAAGATTTTTTACGGGAGCCGGGTTTCTCTCTCAGCGACCTGTAGCATGCAGTTTTAACTCTCTCTTCCATATTCGCTTCTTGTAAAAAAAACCCGGACATATATCTGCCAGTTTCGAATATCTGTAGAAATTTGAGACCATTCACGAGAGTTGCGCATTTTCTACTTGACATGATTGTTTTATCCATAAAGGCTGGTACAACATATTGTAATTATCACATTATATGATAAATTTTCTTTATCTTGTTATTGTAACGTAAAACTGCTTTGAATAAAATGAAAATTAGCAGAATCGCGTGTTTCTGAGTAGAGATCCTCGGGGGAGTGATCCCCTCCCCAGCGTTCCCCTTGTGCATAGCAGGGATGGTCGCTGGGGATCATTCCCCTGGGATAAAGGACGATATGCAGCTGATAGCTACAGCGTTTATAAAGAGCTGGCACAATTTGCAGCTTCTGTTATGTGTTAAAATACTGCTTTGAGCGTCCGCGCGGCATTCCCCCCCCCCTTTCGGCAGCATAACGTCTTCTACCCATTCCCTTCCAGAGACACATCAACATCTATGGTTCAACATTTTTACGCTGAAATGGGGCAGCATGAGCGAAAGTGGGCAGCATCCAAGAAAGCAGGAACATAATGGAAGTAGAAAAAAACATTTTTGGTGCCCCGAGCGCAGTCACTGCATACGCGCATTCCGCAACCCTAATTTATTGAAAGTGAGGAGATGAAGATGAGTTGCAGTCAAAATATGAAATAAGAAAGAGTTTTTCATAGAAAATTTGAAAGCAAGGTGATTTCCCCGCTCGATCCCCTCTTGTGCATAAGGGGGTTCACTTCCCCTCCCCACAGGGGGTCCCCTGTCCGATATTGTCTTTGTGCATACGGGGGTTCGCGCGGGGAGGGGAGGGGATCCCCAGCGGGGATCATTTCAATGGTATAACGCACACCCCCTCCCCGCGGGGATGTACGTGCATACGGGCCTAAATGTGATATCAACTTTTTTGGTAAGCGTGCAGAGTTTGCAGTATCTGTCCATAGTCTGTTCAAGCGGCGATGCTCTTTTGCAAATTCGTTCTCGAAGGAAGCCTGGTACAACGTCTCATCATTCAAGTGATGTCTTGTTATGGCCATATCTAGTTCTCTTGTCAAAACTACGAAATCCCCTCCTTTGTTGCTAATGGATATCTTGATCTTCTTACTCGCGCATAATTCATGAGTTCTCTTGGACCAAGACGCTGGGTTGGTGTTAGATTGGAGGTGGAATGTCTTTTTGTCTTTGCGTGATGGATCATACAAGACCAAGTGGTTCCGAAAACCACTCAGCCAATATATCAGTTCACTTTCTCTTGGCCCATCCTCGGAGCACAAAAAGGTCGATAATTTGTAACATGCTTAAGACTGCTAAGGCAGTTTCCTCCGATCAGGAGGAAACTGCCTTAACAGCGCGTTTTGTTACGCATCCGAGACTTGGACCGACACTGTAGCCACGACAAAAGAACGTATTCGAGGCGCACAGCTATTGACTTTGGCTCATGTCGCCCTTGGTCAGGCTTTTGTCCGCGGAGCGCGGTAACCTCCTCGGACTTGAACTTCTTTCTTACATCTCTATCTTTGTGTATCGTCTTCTTTCTCACACTGTCATGAAAAGTCATCCTGCGTAGCATTTCTCGACTTTTCTACTACCTGCACCCGGGGTGTCAAACTGGCTAGAGATCTAGAAAAACTAGCTGCAGTCGAGTAAATTCTCCACTTAATGTATTTCTTCACGCGCAAATTCTATCGCACTTCACCTACAGTGCAGGGCACGCTATATTAAGCAGGAAATCTACTCAACTATACCAAAAGATTCACTTAGATGCTCAATCTACAACCAGATTGTTGTAAATTGTTATTTTGCATAAATTGCGCTGCATACTACTTATAAGTATGTCTCCGTTTCCGTCATTTTCATGGGTCGGTGCTTGTTCGTCGCCTTACTTGTTCCACAAATGGCCTGCCAATCGTTAAGAAGAATTGAAAATGGTCTGGATAATAGTATCTAAGCATAGTTTCCGGCTAGCTGTGCGCCTCGAATACGTCCGACAAAAGCTGCAAGGATTATCCGCAGAGCGCTAAAGCGCAGTCTTTAAAAGATGACCCGAGACAAGCAACAATTTGTTGAGCAACAATTTGTCGGACTCGCGGTACGCATATGAGAAGAAGAATGTCCCGTCTTCGTGACTCAGCGCAATATGTTGCGAAAGCGAAGCATCGAGGGCCGGTTACATCATGAGAAGAACAGACGACAGATGGACGCTAAGAACATTTGCCCATGAGTGCATTCCTTGCGAAGCAATTTGTTCCGACTAAGATCTCTCTAGCGAAATAGGCAAACGTGTTC